AAGGTTCCCACCCTTTATGTTTGTTTACTGGGAACCGGGCATGGATCGAGCTCCCTGGTGCACAGCAGGTGTCTGGTCTCCAGCTCCATGAGGCCTGCATGGTGGAGAGAAGAGAGAAGAGACACATTGAGATGTGATCGCACCACAGGAAACACTGAAACACCAGAACTGAAAAGAATCAGATTTGCCTCGTTCTCGAGTTATCGTATTTACAAATTTGGGGTCGATGTCCTGCTGACCAGCAGGGTGAAGAAAACTAAATGAGCTCTGCCTGTTTTTGCAACACTCTAGTGGACCTTAAAGTGTTGCAAGTCTATGTTGGTAGAAAGAAATAACGAGTTGCTAATAACAGACTAAGAATACACAACAACAAATGTGTCCAAGCTGCATCCCAGCTTTGCATTTCTGGTGACACATATTTCATCTGCGACATTTATCTGTCAACCTCGAATTCTGATATGGGCAGCCACTCATGCTAATTCTGCAGAAAGGACAATGCGTGCATGCATTCAGTGAATACACACATCCTGCTCATACATACTGCAGTGGGCAGGCTGGCAGTTTTTATTTGACGAGTGAAAGCTGCAGGCTGAGTACAGCATATTTGCTGGAGCGTTTTCTCTGCGCTGGCAGAACAGCCGCAGTCGGCCGTACTGGAAGAGGAAGATGTTTCAGGCAATCCACAGCAGGCAGGGGCAAAGTGAAACCTCCCTTTCAAACCACATATTCAGTTTTGTTAACAATACAGGTAGACTGTCTAAATAAAATGATCTTCTGTCTTTAAAGCCATTTGCATCCAAGGTATCTGGACTTTTGGCCTCAGGAACCTTTTGTCTGGAAACATCAACGTCAAACTCGTACACGAGCTTTGAGCACCTCAGCTACACTCTGCTGCTGACACAGGGAGAGACACGACTGAGTAGTCATTCCTGTTATGGTTCTTTGAAGTCTACTTGAGGTTCATTGCTCGGTGCACATGTGCAGTTGGTGCACTGCAGAGCTGCAATGATTCATCAATTAACTGACGTTTTGTTTAATCCATGTAACCGTGAGTGTTGCAGCAGAAACAGATTGAGGAGCATGCATGTGAATAAAAACTACGGCAACCATAAACTCACGCGGCCCACAGTTTTCTCCACAAAGACACTGATAACACAACAGCAGCAGTGAAGATGATGCTATGATAGTTTAGCATTGAATGTGAAACGTCCGAAACAGCCACACTTACGCTGTAATCACCATCAAAAGCTTTACTCCTGGGAAAAAGCTCATGCAGGTCCTTCATGAAACATCATGTGCAAACTCATGTGAACGTTCTGCCATTTGTTTTACACAGCAGTAAATCCATAGCACAGCTGTTCCAATGAAAGCATACATACACAGCTGAACTGCTAACTTAGTCTGATCAGGAGGCTTGCTGAAGGCTGACAGCAGCTATTTCACTTTATATGCCACCTGCGATAAGCAGAGGGTGAATCTAAATGGGGGCACGGAGTCTTAATTCAAGGCTTTAGTAGATTATTTTGCAGATTTAGACGAATATAAAATATATTAAACTGCAGTAACAAATAACATGTATATAAAAAGCTCGTTCTTTTTTTGTGGGCCAATAAAAGCACACGTGCCACTAAGCCACTGACCAGAGGCTGTTAGGCTGGGCACTGAATTATTATTAACACTAATTATTAATATCTACACAATCAAAACATATGAAACGAAATGTTGCAACAAAGCACAGGCCAAACCTCAGATCTGCGCTCGGAGAATACTGACTGATCTCTCGCTTCATTGCCGTCATCACATGCTCAGGCACACAGACACACACTCACCCATAAACTACCACTATCTTTTAGGGGTGCAGCGATACACAAAATTCACGGTTCGGTTCGATACTTTGGTGTCACGGTTTGATATTTTTTCAATACAAAAAAATGTTCATGCCTTTTTAATTTGTCATTTATTAAAATTA